TACCAAGCAGCTGGTTGGTTCAATGGATTGCATTAGTTTAGGACATCCCCATCTGGGACTATAGAGATTAGATTGTCTAGAACTCAATATACGGATATAGAATTAGCTTAGGAAAGAAAACCATCTAAGCTAAGACAGATCAAGCTGTTTGACTAACTACATGCATTAACCTTGAGCATGGCCCCAGTTCAGGGGCTGATGTCTAGTAGACATATGACTGATGTTTTATTTTACTTTTTCATTTCATAAGAATTATGGGATGGGATCCATCATCCCAAAGTTTTAAACCTTTTAAAATGTGCATATATGAATGTATCCATGCGTACCTAGATGCATTGATGAGAATACAGAAGTATCACACCGATATTTTTAATCCTTGAGCATGTAAAGTTGTAAAATCTTGACCCACACAACATATCTCTAATTAATTAATAGAGCTGTTTGAACTTCAGAGTTTCAATTTTTATTGAAAATTATTCAAAAACACATACACAAACACACAGCTTCCTCTCTCACAAAACCAAAATCCCAACCCTATTCCCCACAATGGAAAAAAGATGCTTTTGTTCCCTCTCGGAAGACATGCCTGGAGCTGGAGGCCACCTTTTTATCCATGCACTCTTTTAACTGCAAGCAATCTTGAATGATGTTCCTAAGATTCCAAAGAGCAGGTGTACGACTCTTTGGGCACAAGATTATTAGCTTTGAGTCCCCTTCAATGATCACCCTTGAGTCTCTAAAGTTGAGAGCCAGATTGTGAGTCTCCCACGCTGCCTAGGCCTATGCGTTGTTAATAGATAAATGCCTAAAGAATATGCCTTGTAATCTATAATTTCCCCTAAGTGGTTTCTAGCAACTGAGCACGTATTATTACTTCTACGGGAAGCATCGAAATTTATCTTAATCACAACCCTCTTCTAGTGGGGTCCAAGTTATATTCTTCCAATTCTTTTCACTCGACTCTAGGTTAGTGTTTTTAGCTAAATCACATTATTTAGCATAACCCCTAGTGGCTCTCTCGATTATTATTGGGGAGGCAATGAGTTATTTGAGAAACATTTATTATTTCTATTCTTTCACATCTGCCATAAGAGGTGGGCACATCTTTCTTTCATCTTTGCGTTATTCTTAACATCTTCCTCATGGATTTTGCACCACCATCCTTTTTTATTGTTGATGAAGTCCTGGGGACTCACAATATTACTGTTTACAACCATCCAATTTGTTGTGCGTTCATACAATTTCTAAATATGTGATTTGCATCATCTTCTTCACCACAGAAGCTACATTCCCCATGAATTTTGATGATACCATTAAATTGATTACTGTTTTATGATACCAATTGATTGGTTATACGATTTTCAGATATCATGTCTTCTTGTATCATAGTCGAACCCTTTTTATGGTATTTTCTAATAATTTGCATGAGAATAGAATGCACTAGTTTTGATTTTATATCTATCTATCTATGTATCTATTATATTAATACACTGCATAAGAAATATTGGTTGAAGGAGAAAAACTATTAAAGAAATGTAGGTGGCTCCAATTAATTGCCTCCTCTCTTAGTATTGTCAGACATGGATATACAAAGCCATTTCATCACTGGCTCATGGGTCAAACGGTCCAACCATCCAATTTAATCATTTAGTCCATTCCATCATAGATTAAAAAGAATAACATATAACTTTGGACCATCTTTCTATTTTATATCAAAATAAGCTTAAAATAATTTATAATATAAGTTAGAAGAGGTTCCAATATATGTAATAATAATAACCTTTAATAACCGGGCATCTCACTCTCCCATGCATAATAATACTATAATTATAACTTCTGTAATCTGTAGAGTTAGAAAACTTAGACGGTAAGACCACTCTCAACCCTTGTAAATATTCACAAATCAATACCTGAAAAATGGAAAAAATTAGGAAGATTACTTGTAACTTGTAAGAGAATTTTATTAACTAATTAATCAAAGAGTACATTCTATTGAAATTTTCTAATTAAGCATTTACTGTTGGAAAGAGAAATAACTCAACGTGAATGTGGTTCATCTGGTTTTGGTGCAGATCTAATATATATTAGACGTTAGTATAACTTAAATACTAATTTTATCACGGAATGGAAGATCAATGCATCCACTCCCGATATTGGGAACAAGAAAATATTCCAATGTACAACCTGTGGGTAGGGATATGAGAACAATTCGTAGACAAGAGCTCTAAACTGGGTCAGTTGGGAGGGTTCAAATTTTTCATTCAACTGCTTTGGAGAAACCACTAAAGGAGTTTTCAGCCCAAAACCCTATTTAGATAGCTAATTTGGACCATTTTCATGGTTTTCACCAAACCCCTAGCTTTATAGCTTATGGGCTGTCAAGGTTGTTAGGAGGGAAGCTGCTGCCTGAAACCCCTCTCATCATGTCCCAAACAGACGCTTTTGTCTTTCTATTTTGTGCCCATTTGATAGGGTGGAAGGTTGATAGATTCAGAAGGTGTTTGGAACTGTGGGTGTTTATTGAGTAAACGCTGCCACACAAGCGTCCCATTAACAAAGGCCTCATTATGCACATCTGTATGTATTATTGTTTGTAATTCTATGCACTTCTCTCGTTTCACGAAACTTCATTTTGGAACTTCTCCCAACACGTAGGTGTTTATTGGCACCTTATTAATGTGGTACCTAATAACTCCTGTGTCATAAATGCTCATAGTTGATAGTTAATGATTTGAAGGAATGTCTTTTTTAGACTSCTTTAATAATTTATTGGGGTTCTAGCAATAAGGGCAAAAAGGATAAGGGCAACTTTTTGCCCTGAATATCAATAAAAGATAATATTTTTATAAAATAACAAAAATAGGGTAATTTTTTTTGAAAAATACTAAGGAAGGGCAATGATACTATTCATTGTCTTTCTGCCCTTCCTCTAGTGATGGAGGCCGGAATTCCCTTTCTGTACTGGTGAAGGAAAACCGAAACACGAACATGGTTGTCTCTCCATTGTGCCACGAATACGAACACAAAGACGAAAAATGAAAGACGAATACAGCGGTTGTCTCCGCCTTGAAACCCTTACTGGAGCGGTTCATGATGAATACAACGGTTTCAAGGAGGTCCTTGCCGCTGCTCCAGTTCTGCTGACGAGGTTCAGGATGAATGCAGCGGTTCCGCTGCTCCAGGGTTTAGTAAGGGTTTGAAGCTCAAACGGGTAAGATCGTTTAACTGGTCGAGGGTGCTGTGCATTAATGAGGAACACATGTGATTACATTGTTTTGGACGGCTCTGCGGTTGGCTCCGATTTGATTGTGAGGTTCAGGATGAATACAGACACAGAGGAAGACAATGAACAGTATCATTGCCCTTCTTTGATATTTCTCCCTATTTTTGTTTTCTTTTATATAAAAATATTATCTTTTATTGATATTCAGGGCAAAAAGTTGCCCTTATCTGCAAGCCAGCACAAAACATTTGAACCAGCTTTCAGTTCAGCTCAACCTTCCCAAGATTGGCTGTATCAAACCCAACTCCGAATCTCTGCATAAAAAGTAATAATAGTCTTAGCGATTTATGTTATGTGGTTTTAAAGCCCAACTTAGGCCCGTTTGGGAATGCCAAATCTCAACTTGATTGAGCTGCTTAGGACTAGGAGAGGTCACTAAACGAAGCTCCAAATAGAAAGCCCCCTTTTTTTTTCTTTTCCTTTTTCCTGAAGGACAACAAATCTGAGTTTTCGAGATTTCCACTTATATGGGAAAGCCATTATTGCATGGGCATGAACACCCTTGCAGCTCTCATTATTATTATTTCCATCAACTCCTCAAAACATAATAATAAAAGCTTGTTGCTCTTATTAATTATTGCAATGACTCATTTTGTCTTGAAAATAAATGTTCCTCTTTAAATTAACTATTTTTTTTAGAAAGATTTGAATGTTAAAAAGACAATAATGAAAATTAGTTCTATATGAAAATGTCAACATAATAAACTCATTTAAGTTTGAGCTCTCTCCACTGGCCTCAAATAATAAAGGAGCTATCTCTTTCCAACTTTCCATTCCAACCTTGTATTGAGAACATCTCCTAATGACAAATACGGAAAATGTTCTCAATGCACGTTGAGATGTGCATGTGGGGCATTTGTGGGGTGCATTCTGTGAGGTGCAGATGTGAATTCCAAAACCAGACAAACAACATTTATGAAAGGAGAAAAGTTTATCCTTTCCTTAGAATCTTCTGAAAAGAGGCATAAAAATGTCCAAAATACCCATGCAGTTATTTTTGACCAAAATGTTTATTTTACAAATTTTCTCTTCATATGAATAGCCAGTACTAACCCTTCCAACTTCTTTTCTGAAATTGATTTATTTTTCAAATTCGCCCTTCATATCATCAGCCGCTTATCAAAGGTAAAGATGCAACTTTAATTCTCTATTTTTTGTTGTTTATAAAGTTTTTATTTTTTATTTTTATATAAAAACCAACCTCAATAATAATTATATGGGTATTTTGGACATTTTCATACCTCTTGTTAGAGGATTGTAACAAAAGTGGCTTACATGCAAATGTGTCAAAAAGTGGAGGGGAGGTGATTGCAATTAACTAAGAGTAAATTAAGTATAGGCTGCATATATAGCACGGTATTAAGTTGAATTCTTCTCTACACTTCATGGTTTGCTGGTTTGCAGGAGGTCACTCTGATCAAGAAATTGCAGAAACAGAGAAAAATTAATAATCTTTTCTGGGTGGTCCTATATATTAGCAAATTTGCTTATATTCGACAGATGCTCAACAAATCGCTAGGGAGAGAAGAGATACAAATAGAAAGAAGATCAGCAAAGAAAGAAAGACGATGCGTCAACCGGTCAGCAGCCTGATTCGGCTTGATCTTGAAGGAGACGGAGGAGTTAATTAATTACAGATTACAGTTTGATAGAAAGAAACCCAAAGAAAAAAGACAAATAGAGAGATAGAGAGAATTCTTAAGAAAAATAATTATAAATAACATTTTTAATAATATTTACTGCGTACATTACATACAAATTCAACGTAGATTTAACAGATTCAAAATTTTCAAGAAAAAATAATAATCAAGTAAAAAATAATCAACCCAGGGAATTGTTTTTTTTTTTCTCTTTTATTCATTTTTTGGGTCTTATTGATTCTCTCGTCAACTTGGATCGAATCCTCATCTGCAACAACAAGTACGGCGGCCGCCTTAACAGTTACTACGCTTGAAGAATGGTGTCGGCATGGTCCTGCACCACCTTCCATGCCAAATTTACATGGCGGTCCTCGGTGAGGGTTGCACCGACGGCGAACCTGATCATGTACATGCCTCCGACGACGGCATGGGTCATGTAGATGCGGCCAGCTGCGTTGATGGACTCCAGCAACTTACGGTTGAGTTCGTTTGCACGTTCCAAATCGGCTGCCTTGTGGTCATGGTGATAAGCAGAGTTGCCGTTAGCGTACACCTTCTGCTCCTCCGCCGGTGGAAGGAGGCGGAAGCAGACCATGGCAAAGTTCCTAGGTACCACAATCTCAAACCTCTTGTCCATGGCCACGAGGCCTTCAAATTGCTTAGCCATTTTCACGTGGGTCCTGAGGAAATTTCTCAGGTTGGCCACACCATAGCTACGAAGAACCATCCAGAGCTTCATGGATCGGAACCGACGACTGAGTGCTATTTGCCAGTCTTTGTAATCAATTACTTGCCTTGATTCAGTAGCTTTGTTTCTCAAGTACTCAGGACTGGTTGAGAGGGCCTTAACGAGAGAGCTTGGGTCCTTGACCCAAAGGCAGCAGCAATCCAGTGTAGTGAAGAACCATTTGTGTGCATTGAAGCTGAACGAGTCTGCATTCTCCACCCCATCAATGAAGTGCCTGAACTCTGGGCAAATACATGCACTCCCGGCGTAAGCAGCGTCGATGTGAACCCATATTCCGTACTCCTTGGCCACCTCACATAGTGGACCGATGGGGTCGACGGCTGTGGATGATGTAGTACCCACGGTGGCACAAAGAAACAATGGGATGAGCCCAGCCTCTATATCGGCAACAATTGTCGATCGAAAGGAATCGGGAGACAGCCCGAATGCGGTGGCCTTGCTGGTTGCAATGGCGCGGAAGTTCTTTGGGTGGATCCCTGCGATCTGGGCAGCTTTTTGCAGGGCACAATGAGTTTGATCCGACGCATAAACAACCAACCTCCCAATGTTCTCTCTACCAATCCTATTCAACACTCTATCTCTAGCAGCTGTAACTGTACACAAGATGGCTTCACAGGTTGTCCCCTGTAAAACACCACCACCATTGCCGGAGAAGAGGAAAGACTTGGGGAGCTTAAGCATCTTCCCAAGCCAATCCATGACGATGCTTTCGAGCTCAGTGGCAGCAGGCGAAGACATCCAATTGAACCCAACGACGTTGAATCCGGTGCTAAGCATTTCCCCGAGGAAACCAGCTATGCTGCCGCTGGAAGGGAAATAAGCAAAATAGTTGGGACTCTGCCAGTGTGTTATGCCGGGGATAATTTCTTTCTGCACGTCTTGCAGAATTGTTTCAATGGGTTCGGGGTTATACGGAGCCGATTCCGGCAAGCGTTTACGAAGGTAACCAGGTTCGACTTGGCTACGAACCGGGTACTTCTCAATATCTCGATAGTAATCAGCAAGGAAGTCGATGATCATGTGGCCTTGCCTCCTGAATTCCTCCGGGTCTAGAGGGTTCAAGCCAAAAGCTGAGTTGTTCTCAAGAACGTCGGCGTGGAGGCTGCCCATGCTGGAGATGGAGATGGAGATGGAGATGGAGATGGAGATGGAGATGAAGATGAAGATGAAGTGGGTTTGTTTAGACGAGGTCTGAAAGTTTTTCCGGCGAGGAAGCTAGAGAAGCAGAAGCAGAAGAAGAGGTAGGTGGTGAGTAGGTAGAAGTGTTTTTGTTTATCACTTCTTCTGACGAGGAAAAACGAAAGGGTGGAGGGGGGTTTAAATAGGAGCAGTGGAGGTCTAAATGAGGCACGAGCGAGCTTTCTGGGTTGGAGGTCGTGGACCCATCTCGGCCAACCCAATCAATAGATTGGAGATTGACCACCTTCACCACACACATCTATCTTGGAGTTGTGAAAACAGTTGGGTTGGTGAAAGGGTCTCACATTGTTTAATTTTCTTTGGCAATTAGTCAAATAATTGGAAATGCTATCTACTGCCTTGGACGACGCGCTTCCTCTTATTCTCTTAACCTCAAAACCTGAAAAGTAAAATATATATTATTAATTAAAACTGCAGGACAAAGTTAAAAGCACGGTCACAAGGATTAATACTCACATTTATAATTGATAAGCCTACAAATATGCAAATGGGTATCACTGCAATTGATAGATTATAAAAATGAAGGGTAGAGATTGAAGTATATTTTTGCTGTATATTATATTGTTTGGTAGATACATTGTCAACACTGTTGATTATAATACATATATACGGTTAATTAACATTACCACGTGGGTATCAACTTTTGATCCACTACTTCCCACTTTTTTTTCTTTTTTTGTCTCAACGGCAATGTGAACCACCTAATGTTTTAAGTTTACTAGGTCAAGTCAATGAGATACGCTGCGGCCGAAAATGGAGCAACGCTAGTCATCTTAATAATTATTTTAATTACAATTGGTAGGTGGTGGTTGGTTCCTTGGTCTTTATTCTAAATGGGTATACTATCTTCTCTACCTTATTTGTTTTAACAAACGTTTGTGTTTCTATAGAGTCTTCCTATATAGACCTAGTATGTTAATCGATGTCATTTCCATCAATAAAAGAGAAAATGAAAAAAAAAAGAGAAAATGAAAAATATATGCAATGTTTTAAAAAACGTAGAACCGGAATCACGTTGGTCATCGGCTTTTGGTTCGTGATTTGATTGTCCGATTAGAATGAATTGTTAGATAGTGTATGCCCTTAACTCCAATCAGAATAATGTACATTATGACATTTAATGTAAATGAATAAAGTACATATTTGATTCATGTTATCATGGTGTGTTTTTGTGTAATACCCTTAAACTGGACACATATGAGGACTCATGTTAGTTTAAAATCTTCACAGCCATTGGATAGATCTAGGGAGATTTATCTTGCCAAGGCTGACACTGATGTGCTGCCAAGTTGGTTGGGGTGGCTTGTCTCAGCTGCCAAGGTGACACCTGAGGTACATGCAATATGGGTTTTCTTGAAACCCTGAACTGAACCAAAATTCCAGTATTGCCCTGGACCTTAGAGATAGATGGGCAAAATTGGAATGTTACACCTGACCCCTAGACTCGATTATGACGCTACACTAGGTGTCAGATTGGGCTGTCTTTGATGTGCCAATCAGTGAGATCCTTAGAGGGGGTCAAAACCTGTGTATGTTGGAACAGTCCGAGAATTCATCTGAGCGGGTGATCATAGTGACAGGATCAACCATTTTGTTGGACAAAGTGAATGATCGGGGATGCTCTCTCTGATGGAAACCTAAACTGCCAGTAGTTGATTTCAACCATTGAAATTTGTTTTTGCAAAATATATTTATATAAAGATATACATATATATTATGATTTCAAAATGTTTGCAAAAGGTTTTAATTCCCATGATCCATGTGAGTAGAGAGTGCAACACTGTTCCTTGCAGCCGATGGAGAGGTCCTCTCTTGTCGGTGGGCCGGGCCGGGCTTTTACTCTTCATTAATGGTTAGGCCTGAGCCCGAGCCCGGCCTGACTAACGGGTCTACAACTTGGGCCCGAGCCCGGCCTTGATAAAAAGTCCGAAGCCCGAGCCCAAGCCCGAAGCCCGACCTAATAAAAAAATTAGAATTTTTCCCTATTCAATAATCAATATAAATTAGAATTTATTTACATTAAAAAAAGAATATAAATTCAAAATTTATTTATATTAAAAAAGAATATAAAGAAGGGAAAAAGAATGTGGAGAAGAAGGGTTCGACTAGAAAAATAAGGGAAAGAGGTGAAAAAAAGAGGGGTATTCGACTAGGGTTTTTATGTTTAATTATAGGTCGGGTCGGGCTCGGGCCGGGCTATTTTGGCAAATCCCGAGCTCGGCTCGAATTTATTATGGGCCGGGCTTTTTGGCCTGAGGTTAAGCCCGCGGGCCCATATACCTATTCAAGCCCGTCCAGGGCTGGGCCGGTCCGTCGGGCCATCCGACCCATGAACAGGTCTACTTGTCGGGCAGTGTTTGATCATTATGGGCTGAGAGGTTAAGTGTAAGACCATTGAGGGTAATACTTGATGGACTAATCTTGCATCTGCCCACAGTCCTTGGATTTTCATAAGGTGGCTAGACCCAAAGACCATTTAGTGTAAATGTTGGGCCCGTTAAGAGCCCATGGTGGTGGACTCGGGGGTTCATTGTCTCCTACAGTGAATTCAGCCAGGCCTTGTAATAAAGGCTGGGTTGAAGCCATGTGGCTGATGTGTAGATCAATGTTTGGGTCCCATGCCATACAAGGATAGCCAACTGGGCAGCAGGTTAAGAGGTTAAGTGAGCACATAGACTTAATGGGCCTAAAGCCCATTCGAACTGGCTTAGTAAGATTAATTAAATAGGGGACGATTATGGGATTTGGATCAGCTGATAGGATAAGGGATTATCCCTATCCACTCAAAGAGTCCAGATCCAAATAAAGATTTGGATCAGGAAACTCTTAATTGGATTATGATGGCTGATCTTTATCTACAGATAAGATAAGGGATTATCCTTATCTCTTAAAGAAAGTCCAGATCCAAATAAAAGATTTGGATTAGGAAACTCCTAATGAGATTAGGAGATCCTCTCTTTAAGGCTATAAATAGAAGAGCAGGGTGAACCTCCAAAACATCACTCACAGTTTGCTAAATTACAGAGAGAGACAACACAGTTTGACTGCACTTGTCTTCTGCTCTTGTCTTTCTTGCTCTTGCCGCCCTACCCAGTTCGATCTCCACCATTGGGAGTGATCAAGAACGTTTCTTAATATTGCCTTTTGCTAGAAGAGGCAATTTGAAGTCGTGCTAACCAGCCTTCCATCATATTCTTATTGAAGAATTCGATTCTTGCTAAAGAACCGTCCTATTGATTCTGCTTCACATCGCACCATTGTCACAAGTGACTCCTTCACCGTGCCATCAAGCACCTATCGTCGTGCCATCAGAGTGCCTACAGCGTGCCTTCATGGTGTCATCATGTGTGTCATGGGTGGGCTATGTATGTATCTTGTAAGGGGGGACCGCCAATGGCGTTATTGTAATTACTTAGTATGATTTTTCACTCTTTTGATGTTTTCTTATGTCACTCCCCCAAAAGCTTAACGTATTCTTTGAGGGGAGGTAGGTAGTCGAGTGTGTAAAGGTTAAGCACGGGATCCTCTCAACACTGAACTGTGTGCTTGTGCTTACCATCAATCAATGCAATACAAGTAGTCTTTTGACTAATTTGTGTGCCTTCTTGTTGCCTTTTGTGTGTTGTTGCATGCATTCGTAGGCTTTCTCAACCCCATCGAGCACCGCACGGGGTCTCGTTGAATCGCCCCGTGACACCATGTCATCTTCGGTGGAAATAGACTTTGGTCTTCTCCTTGGCTGTGAACACCTTCATTGGGGGTTTACTATTACTTTGTATCAGGTATATCCCTCTACTCCCTTTAAGTTTCAGATCTGGTCCGGTTTGATTTCAAAATTGATCATTGAAAATACAGTTTTCTAAAATAGGGAATGTGATTCTTACATGGGAGAGAGAGAAATTTTAAAATTTTGCCCAACCTTCTTGCCGGGTTTGGCCATTCATATAATAGATTTCTCGTTCCTTCATGAATGACCTGTCATAATTTAAAAATTAAGAATTAAAAAAATAATTAAAACAAAAAATAGCTAATTAAAATCGTTATCTGGGTTGAATATGTCAATAAATTAATCGCCCAAGTCCATGAATCATTAACCAAATCAACGTTTTTTTGACAAAATTCGATTTCCAAATGAAACGGAATCAGTTGCCTAAACTGTGGTTATATGTATTGTTTTCGTTGTAGACGCCCCACCACATGTGGTGATGGAAGATACACGCGTACGCCAAAAGGAGAAAAGACCCGTAGCTTATGATGAGAAATATTCTTCTCTTTTTTTATTTAATTTAATTTATCCAATTTTCTAAGTTTTGTTTGGGTTGAAGTTTTTGATAATCATAAAAACCTCCCCTCAAGTTTTATTTTAATAAAAACCTTTCCTAAACTTTTGGAAAACTCAACACAAATCTCCTTTTTATTGTTGTCTCATAAGGAAAATATTTATTTGATACATTATCTTTTTAAAATACCTATTTTACCCTCTTGTATATGATTTTAGATAAATTTTTATTAAAATAACCCTGAAACCAACTTTAACATGAATAACCCATATGCCGCCCTTTTTTCACCTCTTCCAATGGCAAAACTTCGCTTACAGACGTGCCAGAGCTTTAAAGTCAAGCCATTTTAAATGAGCACTACCACCTAAGGTCTAAGATAGAACTTGGAACCCTACTAGCTACTCCAATCAACAGATGAAAGGATATGGGCATTTCGTAATAGGTATTTATCAAAACACCGTCATGTTATCACTAAATCAGTATTTTTTTCTTTATATTTATCTTTATACATTAATATTTACAAGAGTGGATTTTAATTTATGTGTCCACCAACCATTGGGAAAGTTTCATTGTAACCCTTCCCCTAACAATTGAGCATTTATTCATTATTCCACTGATGTGACGTCTAATTATCATAAATGATTTATTAAATATTTTTCTCGATTTTAAATACAAATATTTATTTAATAAATAGACATACTTAATTTCTCCCACACTTGAAATGACTCATCAAACCAGATATGGCCTACTGTGGCCCCACAAACACGATGAAATAAGTAGAAAACTCATTTCACTTAACTTATTTCCCTTGAAACGAGGATT